CGCTAAGGTCCCCAGACCCTCATTCTCTGAACATTCCAACCAGGGATCAGGGTTCAATTCTCACCACCCAAAGCACCTCTCAGATCCAGAAGGATGTTCCAATAGCTCTTCCCTATGAGCCCTCTGCCGTCCGGAGACCTCACACATCCCTTGTATCAGCTCCAATGGGTATCCCCAACTTCTTCGATAACTAGGATGCCAGGCCTGGGGTCTAACATTGTGGGCGCTGACTGCTCATATTGGGGACTTAACATTTATGGATAGCTTTCAGAGGGTGAATGTTGTCCCTCTGATGGCCTTTGCAAGAGATGACCTTGGTCTCTATAAGACTGATGTATAGACAGCCAATGTTATGCAGAAGTCTCTCTCTGGTTATTAATGAACCAGAAGAGAATCTGCTTATATGAGCAAATATGACTTACACATCTCTGCTGTGCTTCTCAGGATCATGTCCCTGACTCTGAGATGTGTGCTGGAGGAGCCCTTCTCTCCTCTGCCACTGACTACTCACCCTGTCATTCAGACAGTGTGTGACCTCAAAGGCAGGTCTCTGGGAGGTGAAGCCAAGGCCCTGCATTTGATAACCTCTAGATAAGGATACAGGGAAAACCTCCAACATGGAACCCTTGAATGGGAATTAGGAAAAGGCTGAATCTCAGCTGGTCTCCTCTAGTTGGATTTACTTTGCCTGCTTTCCTATTTTATTCGGCTGTGATTTGGAGCTGGCATCATTGGCTAAGGAGCTCAGACTAGATAGATGATGAGGCAGGCAAGTCAGGGCTTTGAGATGAAATGGCCATCATGTCTCATCTTTAGAACTGCCCTGCAGCTTGGGTCGACCATTTATTCCTAAGGCTGTTGGCCCAATATAATCCGTTAGCATCATGGCTTAGGATTCTGTTCATTTTACCTTCGGAATCACCTGTGTTTTCCATGGCATTCCTTCTGCCTCATCTTGGTGCTGATTGTCTTTCTGTCTAGCCCAGGACTGACCATTTACAGGCCAAGAGAGGGCAACTTTCTTCATTCTATTCTAAGGCAGTGAAGTGTGCATAATTGTCAGTCTCTTTCAGTGTCTCTGAATCTGGGTTGGCATTGCCTCCTGGCTGTTCCTCCCTGGCCTTCACATCTGCTGTCTGCAGCAGCTTTACTAGACTGACACCGCTGTGCACACTACAGAGGTTCACCAAGAGCTGAGGCAATGCGGATCCCGGTGAGGGCACACAGCAAGAGCTAGCTTGGGGAACTGGTGTGAATAAACATGATTGGCCAGAGGGAAAATTACCATCTTTGCCCTAAAAATCCAAGACTTACATAAAGCAACATCCTTGCTCTAGGTGGTTCTGGCTGGTCCTTCCCCATCCCCTGATCTGCTATGTCATAGAACTGACCACTGACCCAGCGGACTGCATCCTTGGTTCTGAGTATTCCTTTTAAGCCCTAACTTCCTGGCCTTGCTTTCCTGTTTTCCTGTCTGCACTTTCCAAATCTACCTCTTCTGTTGGCCGAGGCTCTTCATTTCACATCTCTTCCTATTAACTGGTTGGCCCAACAATCTACAGCCAAGAAATGGCTGGGCTGGGATTAGAACTGAAGAATGAGCTCTTTCGTACCACAACCCCATGCTTCACCAATGGATGAACTGTGCCATGGTAACCAGTGCTTCCTGGTAGCATCCCCTGCAGGGAGGGCCCTGTGTGTCATAGGAACCCATAGATACTGTGGTTTAAGTGAAGAGCCTTCCAGACCCCAGACCCTCAATGTATGTGCTCAAGTTTGCTTATGTTAGCAACCACGTGGACTCCACTCAGACAAAGCTGGGGACATCATAAACACAGGCAGGTGGGGATGCTTCCTGGCTCCTCATACACATCTTGCCTCTTCTCCAAACAGGGTGCACAGCTGGTAGGTGAGAAGCACGAGGCCCTGCACTAAGTGAGGGTATTCCCTTTGGTCCCACCTGTGGAGATGCAGAGGCCACAGATAGTTTTCCTCTGCATGGAGCAAGGTGAGTGCCCCCATCAGTGGGGGGTGGGAAGGTACCTTGGGAGAGGTGGTATATGTCAAGTTCTTGGGCACCGGTGTCCCATTTCACCAAGCCCTGGCCATGTGGGATCTTTGGGAGGCACTTCCACCCACCAGCCTCAGTTTCTTCTTTGTAAACTGGCCTAAGACCCACCCATCGCCCTGCTATCTCGGGAGGAGGCTGGGTTGTGAGGAAATGAGGGATGAACTGCGGGAACCATCACTGGCCTTGGTTATTCCACTGTGATCTGAGTTTTTACACTTTTCTTTTGACCCGAAGTCACATTTTAAATTCCTACCATTTGAAAGGATATAAGCCACTGCCATGTTTTATCTGCCAGCTATTTTACCCCTTCCTGAGCAGAATAAATCTCAGGATTTGTGTTAGATAGCCTCAGTCCCCTCATTCTGTATGGATGAGCCAAGATCTGAGAAAAGAGCATATAACAGGGTGATTTGCTAGGCTGCAGGCTCTTTGAAGGCTGGGGGAGCGCCGGCTGGAGCCATGGACTAGAGCCAGGCGAGGCCAGCAGAACCGGGGGGGGGGGGGGGGGGGGGGCTGGGGCCCGGGGAACCGCTCGGGCTCACGGGGAAGGGCCCATGAAAGGAGAAGAGTGAGTTCTTCGTGGAGCTCCTTTTTCTTCCTTTGCTTTGAGATGTTTCTTTTTGAACCTCCAAAGTGACAGCCCTTCCTTGATCAAGTCCCCGGACTTCCAGACAGCTCCCGAGCCCATGCCAATGGGAGCAGCGTCTGTGGGCTTCTTCCATGTCCCTTCCTGTGGCCTCTGGCTGGGTCCCCCTGTCCCCTGGTAGAGCAGAGACCCTGCTTCTCACAGAAGCAGATGCTCACAATCCCCTGCGTATTCTGTTCCAGCGACAAAATAAGGAGCGGACAGACAGACAGAGGTGATAGTAAAGAGTACACGTTGAAGAGAGTGTTTTCACAGTGTCTGATGAAGGGGAGAGGCTGCCTTCCCCAACACTGAGCTGAGTGCATCACCCCGAGCTCCCTGGGGCACTGTTGGCAGAGCATTCACCCCTGACCCTGGCTCCTCTCCTGACCTCTGGGTGGGTTACCCCCCCCCCCATACTACCTCTACCTCAGGACTTCCCAACCCTCTTTGCCATTGCCCATGCTGATTTCTTTTTCTTGCTTTTCCTACAGTGAGACCCAGTCGGGGTGGGAGTCACCTCCTCTAGGAAGCCTGAGGCAGTCTCTCCTGCTCCATGGCGCCTGCGCTGCATCGTGGCTCAGTTTCCCCAGTGCACACTGAGCTGCTGAGTCCTCCTGTCTGGGGCTAGAGCAGCCTCCACGATGCAGCTTCCTCCCTCCCAAGCAACCCCAAGGCTGTCTGGTCTAGAGCCCACGCCCCTGCGAGAGACAAGGTAGGGAGTCAGGCTGGCAGACCGCATCGCTGGAGGGAACAGGGAATGGTTTTCACTGACGGAGGAATGATTACAGGAGACCAGCTTTTCCTGGGGAGCCAGGAACGAGGCACTAAAATAGAACAGAAATTCTGGGCCTCCCAGAAGAACTGGCACCAGAAAGAAAGAATTAAATTTCCATTTGTGGAGTTCTCTGCCCAGAAGTTTCTGGCCCTATTTTCCCTCCATAAAATAATTGCTTGGCTGAGAAAGGATGAAGGAAGCAAGGAAAGTAAGTGATGTCGCCATTATTCGCCTTTTTGGAGCCGAGAATTGCACCGCCGAGGAAGATGCCTCGGCCTCCTCATGTAACATGGAGATAATGGAAGGACAGGAGCTCTCCCCGGGGAGGAGGTCCCTAAGCATGTGGGATGGCACACAGGAGATGCCTAGCAGATGCCGGCTCCCTGTCCCCGACTCATGCATCCTTCGGCAGGACCCTCGTTTCCTAGGCCTAATCCCTTCAGCCTATGTGATACCAAAGCATCACTGGTCCACAGTGGTCTTTGTCAGGAGAGCTTCCTGAAAGCTGGGACTCAGCTGCCCAGCAGCCAGAGGAACTGCCTCTGTCCAGCTGTCTGTCTTATCAGTGGCTGTGCCATCCCAGGCAGGCCCCTTTAGGGATGTTGCCTGATGACAGGCCTGAGAGATTGGTCCTATGGCTGCACATCCGAACTTCCTTCCCAGGCTCCCCGCCCCCCTCCTTTTTTTTATTAACATAAGAGACTTAGATTTTACATCCCCCAAAAGAGAGTTTCTTTTAATATATGCTTTGGAAAATAATCAAATCTTATCCTATTATCTCTCCCAAAGGGGAAGCCCAAGGGTCAGCGAGAGCCCTGCCTCAGGGCAGTGGGCCCTTTTCACAGACAAGGAGGAGCAGCCATCTTCCCTGCAGTTCCTCCCCCTCCCATCGACCACAGAAAAGCAAAGAAAACCTTTATCCACCAGTGCTGTGGACCCAGCAGGCTGGCGTGAGTGACAGAAGGGTCAAGGCCCGTGCTGGGGAGGGGATAGCTCTGTGCAGGGAGGGGGCAGGATGGGGCCCCTGCTGTGGTCTCAGGACGGCCCCAGGTCACTGGAGGAGACTGCAGAGGGCAGCAGGGCAGCGACCCCAAGAACCCAGCCACTGCCCCCACAGCATGGCGACGGAGACACAGTCCCGTCACTCCCAGGGAGAAGCAGGCCCCAGAGGTACAGGGAGCCTGTGTCTCCCAGCACCCCATGCTGGCTTGCCATGATGTCCACACACTTGGAAAGCGCAGAAGCAAGAGGTCGGGGAACTGGGAAGTCTGGGGCCTTGTTGTGGGTCCGCGTTGGTGGCTGGCGGGGGTGCAGGGGAAGCTGAGCCTCTCAGAGCCGCATCTCCCACAGTGACAGGCGCCCCTCAGAAGGTGCAGGGCCCACCCCGGGCATGGGACCACCAGTCTTCTCTGCAGAGCTGGGCCGGGTGCCGCCTCTTGGTCCCTGAGCCCGCCACTGCCATCCACAGAAAAGGGGGTTTGACTGCAGCAGCCTCTGCACTCTGGCAGCTCCCCCATCGTGTCAGGCTAAAAGGAGCTTAAATATTCCAGTGCCACCTCGTATACGAACTTATACTGTTCCTGAGAGGAGGAGAGGCAGACAGGAGAGAGGGAAAGGAAAGGAAAATGCATTTAGAAGTACGATTTTAGAGTGAACTTTACCTACATCTGTACTAACAGTCCGCTCAGAATTATCCATGCAGATTCTGATTCAGTTGATCTTGGGTGGGACTCAGGATTCGACATTCTACCAAACTCCCATACGCTACTGCTGGTCTACACACCAAACTCTGAGGGGGACCCGCTGAGAGTAAGTTTAAAGATTCGAATTTAAGTTCCTTATGTATGGTCTGTCCCCATCACTGCACCAGGCCTTATCACTGGGGCTCTACCTGTCCAGTCTCTTTCCATCCCTTTCTCCAGTGTCCTCTACCAATACCTTATTCATAAAATTAGCCTAAGTCAGAGGTTGGCAAACTGCGACTCACAAGCCACATGCGGCTCTCAAGCCGCTGTTCGCCGCTCTGTTGACTAATGCATTTGCCGACCACTGGCCTAGGTTAATTAGACTGGATGGGACTGGACCCACACCCTACCCACCCAGAAGCCCTTCCCCTAAGCCTGGGTCAGTGGTACTTCCCGAAAGAACGGGTGGAGAGTGTGTCAGGGCTAACATTTGGGCTGCCTGCAGGGGGGAGATTGGGAGCTGAGTGCTGATAGGAGCGAAGTCACTGAGTGTTTTCACTATTTGATGCTGGTTTCTTCCGGCACAGGGACTAGGGTCATGTCCGGCCTGGAGGGAACAGTTCTCGGGATACTCACCAGGGTCTCCACCATGTTGGACTTGTTGTTCCGCAGCGTCTTCACGATGTGGAACACGTCGATGATGTTCTGCTGCTGGATCATCTCACACACGCTGCAGATGGCGCAGAAGGTCCCGCTGCGGCCACCCCCATTTCTAAACAGAGGGAAGGGTGAGTCAGACTCCTTCCTGGGTGCTGCACCGGCAGTGGTGGGGGAGGGGGTGGCTATCTTGGCCAAGGGAAGGAAAGGCGCTGGCAAAAGCCCAAACCCGAGCCACGTGCCATGGTTCCCAGGGTTCGAGTACCCCGAATCTGCTGTGACCTTGTCTGAGCTCCAAGCTGCCCATTCCCACAATGGAGGGTTTGCACTAGGTGACCCAGGACAGTTCAATCAGCTTGATGTTTCCCTGGTTCTATGAGTGTGTTACAGTCACCCATGGCACACTGATCCCAACCTTCAGGCTCAGAGTGTCTTTATTCATGTGCCTGCATCCTTGTCCAAGGGGATGCTCTGGGCTCACCCACACATCCAGTGAAGACAGTTACAGTTGTGTATGATTTCCCTCCTATAGTTTTCCCACCAACTAGGGACAGCAATGCCAGAGACATTTCTCTCAGCCGAGGGGCAGCCAGCCCAGGTGTTCGGGTGGGGGCCAGGCTGGGTCTATTTATATACCCGGTGAAGCAAGACCCTACAGCTCCGGAGATTGGAGATAGAGGGCCCTTGGCAGGCCAGCTCCCTGCCACTCCTCCTTCCTGAGGCTCCATATGTCATCTTCATGGAGACACCCTCCACTCTTCAGAGTCCCTTTGGAATCTGCCTGATTCAGAGCTCCTGGGCGTGTTGCCAAGAGTAACTAATGATTTCATGTAATGGTCTGTGTCTAAGGAACATCTGGACGAAACTACGACACTCAATCTCCCAGATGTTTTATCTATAGGACATCCAACGACCAGATGCTTCCAGTACAGACAATTGCCCTCATTCACTGGCCAGCGCCTGCATGTCAGCGCCTGCGGCTCCCAGGTGTGCCAAGGTCCCTGTTGATAGGACACCCCTGTGCTTTCCTTTGGTTCAAACTGCTGGTCACCTTGGACAGGGGAGAGAGGGGGATACAAACCAATCACATGAAAAGAATAGGGAGGGACCTCAAGAGGGAGGGTTCCGTATTTTCTGGAGCAAGAACAGCAGAGCCCAAGAGGAATGAGACCCTGGAGGGATGGTTGTGGCTCTCAGCTAAAGGGGAGCCACCTGAGTGTGAGGGAGAAACTGAAGGGAGCAGAGTGAGCGGGCAGGGAACCAGCCACCAGTTTCTGGGATGTGGGCAGAGCCAGCTCAGCCTGGCTGACGTCACCCACCAATGCGACATGCAACACCTCACGGCATCTTCCTGGACTGCAGTGTGCATCCCTTGGGAAGGGGGATTGCTACAGGTGATGGCTCTTGAGCTGTGCGTGTTTAAGTTCTGTGACTTTTCTGACATGTGCGTGCACCGCCTTTTAGAAAGGAGAACAATAAGCTGGTTTTGAAAAGACAATTCTGAGGTCAGTAGGTGTTATGAATGCCTCCACCAAATCCACAAATACTTATTCTGGAAAGGGGAAGTCTCTGGCCAGGACTTCCTTAACACACCTTTTAAAAGAGTCATGTCTCCCCACTGATTTTAAGGTTCTAAGAAGCAAAGGGAATGGTTGTGAATCCAATGTTCCACACCAGCTGTTCTCGCTCCCCATTTGTTTTGGGTCCAAGGTCTCTAGGATCCTCTCTTATACTCCTATGGTGGACTCTGACACAGGCATTTGCGTGTTTACTACCATGATATTGCAGATTTGTATGTTGGCAGGTAAATTGTATTTGCTTTCTAAATATGTCAAAGCCTCACAGAGCCTTAAAGATGACCTAATTCAATATACCCATTGGACATATGAGTAAACTAAGGCTCATAAAATTAAGTGATTTCCTTGAAGATAGCTTGTCAGCCACAGCCCTCTAAGGCACCTGACCTCCACCTATGTGATGACATAGGGGTCTGTCTGACTAGAAATCCCTGTACCCAGCTATGCCTGTCCTAACACAGGAGGTGAATGTTCCATTTCACCTCGGTGAAGGGATAGAAACACAGCCATCCTGAGCCCATGGTGCCCTGGAAAAATGCTGCAGACATGGTGGGTGAATGGATGGCACGTTAGCCTGGAGGCCAACGGATTCTAATCAAAGCTTCTTTTAACTGCCTGATGCCTCACCTGCCTGTGCCTCAGTCTCCTCACTGTGACATGATAAAATCTACCCCCCCCCACCCCCATGGTAGGTAACTCATTTTAACTGCCTGGCATTAGGCTCACATAATCCATTCCCCTTCCCTCCTTTTCTTCTTCAGGAAATAATAGAGGAAGGTCTGGTTGGTGGAGCCCTCTTCACCTGAGCCTTCCTGCTGGAGGGTGGGACTTCCCTGCCTCCTGGGAGCAATGGGGTGTGGTCTGACCACACTCCAAGTTTGGGAAAAGGCTGCCAGGTTTTTGCATAAGTAAATATGTCACATAACCTTAATTCAGGGCAACCCCAGTCCATTGAAGGGCTGAGAGTCTCTGAATACACTCCCATTGGCCTTTCAGGGATGTTGAGATGTGGTGCAGCCAGGCGTGCCTATGACCAATGTTTGTGGCCAGCATCCCCAAGGCCGTCCTATCACCCACCTCCCTGTGGCTCTGGCGACGCCTCCACAGTACAGTACTCACAGGCAGTGGACCACCGTGCGTCCCTCCCGCCCATCGTACTGCTCCTGCCACTTCTCCAGCCGCCGGACCACTTTGAGCAGAGAGCGCTTGGAGGGGGGCGTGTCCCGGTAGGCGGGCCAGCCGATGTACTGGAGGTGCTGGACTATGCGGTACCCGTCCTGAGGCTGTGGACAGAGAGGCTGTTAGGGCCGCTGCAGCATTGGGCGGAAGACAGACTCAATGAGGTCTAAGCCACATCATCACAGACTCTCTCTTAACTCATCTCTACACGTTTGTGCACACTGATTCTCCTGCCCTGTCCCCCTTCTCCACCTGGAAAACTCCTACTCAGTCTTTAAAACCCAAGTCAAACATTCCATTCCTCAGGAAAAGCCTGCCCTGTCTCCGAGGTTCATGTGCCAGAATATATCTCACTTTCACATTAGATGGTGACCTCTGAGGGCAGGGGCTGAGTTCTGTTTGCCCTGGGCCCCAGTGAAGGCCAATGCCACTTTAGTTAGCCACCATTCCATGGATTACTAATCTGCTCCCTCCCACCCAATCCTCCTCCCCCCAGCCAGCGAGTTTCCTCTGGACGCAGCTCTTTTTCACTCTGGTGTGGTTCCCAGGGTCTAGCCCAAAGCTGGCTGGATCCAATCAAAGGCTGCATCTACTGCCAACACAGCGAGGCACCGTGGGAAAGTGCTAATTTCTACGAAGTGTCATCTACACGGCAGCAAGTGTGTCAGGAAACAGGCAGATGGCAGGCGGATGTCGCCCTGTGCGGTTCTGTGTTTGAACCATGGCTGGGTCTGGAGCTGGAATCGGTAGAGGCATCACCTCCCCAAAGATGAGATGAGCCGAGAGCACATCCCGGACGCTCATTAGCGGAGGCGGTTCCTCTCCCACAGGCTCCGTCTATTGTGTGTGTGTGTGTGTGTGTGTGTGTGTGTGTGTGTGTGTGTGTGTGAGTGTGTGTGTGTGGTGGGGGGAGGGCAGCATGGGATGCGATGGCGGCCGCACACTCACCCGAGCCATGTTGCAGATGCGGAATATCCTGTGGATGATGTCCTCGTCTATGTCTGCGGAGACGAACTCCACCTGGATGGGCCCATAGCAGCCGGAGGTCTTCTCAGGCCAGTACTGCATACAGAGCTGGAGAGAGGCCACGGGAGGGCGGGGGTGGGAGGGCGTTAATCTCATGTGTCACTAAGCCCTTCCTATTGAAGGCAGACCACACTGGCTGGAGATGCAGGGTATAACGTAGGGAATTAGACCCCACTTCCCTGTTGGGAAGCAGCCACCCATTTGGGGGATTTTTGTTGAAAAGTCAAAGCTCTGAACACAAACACTTTGCTGTGCTGATTTCACATTTGTTAGACTTGCTGGGCCTCTCATTCCTCATCTGTAAAATGGGGAAAATGGTATTTACCTCGAAGCGCTGCTGTCAGACTTAGGTAGAACACTCCGAGGGAAGGGCAGCTATAACCTCCAGTTTTCTTCTCACTAATGTGAGCCATGGCAAACACGTCCCCATTCCAGGAAAACCTTTACAATACACTTTAGAATATATATAAGCTTTGGCATCGGACATGTTTGGGTGCAAATCCAGGCTTTGCTCCTTACTAGCTGTGTGACCCAGGCCTCAGTTTTCTAATATGTAAAATGGGGATACTTATGCTCACCTTACAAAAGATGATGTAGTATGGTGCTGAGAGATCTTGCCTGTGATCTTTCCTATTTTTCTGGAATTGTGAATTAGATCCTATAGCTGAGAGCAAAGGCGACAATGGCCCCTCAACCTAAGATGGTGTCTCAGCCAGAAGTGGTTCTGTCACCCAGCGGACATTTGGCAATGTCTGGAGACATCGCTGATGGTCACACCGGGGGGTTTCTATGGGCATGGAGTGAGTGGGGGCCAGGATGCCGCTCATATCCTCCAATGAAAGTATACCTTTCCCCTACCCAGGGCTCTAGCCCCAATATCAATAGTGCAGAGATTGAGAAGCCATGGCCTAAGATCACAAGTGATTCCTTAGGTTTATAGTTTCATCAGGAGAGAGAGCAACAGACACTTCATTCTTCTGTCTCTGTTGAGCTACCAGGTGACTTCAGTTGGAGAAAGAACACGGAGGTAGCTAGCAGGGGCCATGGCTCAGAGAGGCAAATGTGCTTCCTCAGATTCCTGGTACCCATAGATCATGGGGGTGGACTCTGTTCAGGGCTATAGGCCTCAGCATTGGGCACAGAAAAGAGCTAAGTTGGGGCTGTATGCTCATCAGGGGCCACTCCAGCATGGACCCTCCACCTGGAGGTGCCCAGAGGATGGAGCCAAGACTCATAAGACCCACTGAGGCCTCTGAGGGCCGCTGGTCTGTCACAGCCCAGACCAGCTTGCAGACAAAGACTTAGATGATCAGCGGTGACCCACAGCAATCCAGTAGCCTCCTCACAGCTACTCCGGGTATAGGATTTTCATGAAAGGGATTGCTGTCCCTTTGTGGAGAGAGATAAGTCACATGCAAAAGTATCTTTATTCTCTCTCTCCAGAGCTGGAACCAGAATGGAAAAGCCAGGAGGAGGGAGGATGGGGGAGAGAGAAAAGCGCATGTCTCCAAACATCCTAACTGTGCAACCCAAGTTCCAGCTCAGGGAGAACACTGGTCACGTGATGGGCCAGACCTGCCCAGCACCCGATTCTGTAAGTAAAGTTTTATTGAAATACCACTGTACTTATTTACGTGTTATTGTCTGTGGCTGCTTTTGAGCTACCGTGACAGCTGAGTAGCTGAGCAGATCACATAGCCTGCAAAACCTAAAGTATTTCCTATCTCGTCCTTCACAGAGAGAGTGGGCCGACACCTGCACTGTCCGCTTGCTCAGGAATAAAGGAGATGGCGCATGTGAACAAACAGGCATGTTATAAGCACCTGCTGAATCCCAGCGAGTCACAGTATCACTGAACCTATCGGTGCTCCACGAGAATAACAATTACGATAACGCTTCATATTTAAAGCTGAAGGATTTTTCTTATCACCTGTCTCAAATAGCAAACACCTAACGAATGGTGGCTGCTTTCCTGGCCTCTAATCAACCAGCTTGGGGGAGCAGTAGCGACTAGACACTCTTCTGCATGTCAAAGGAGAGAGGCTGCGATGCAGTGGAACCAGTGAATCGATATGACCCCCCTCCTAACCTCAATATTCAACAAATTTATACTAATATGCACAGTGCTCAATATGTATTGATTTCCTATGGAAACCAGCGAGGAACTAAGCTTTCTCCCCAGGTGCCTTAGAAACAGAGCAGAAACATATATGTGGTGTGAGGGCCAGGCCACGGGCACATGGCCATTCACATTTTATAGAAATCTTGGGGATGGGGACTATGGTTTCTTAACCTGTTAACCGGGGAGTTCCCTTTTTAATTATGCAACCTGTAATGGGTGTATACTCTTCCACTAAGACGTGTCAGTACGTCACGCCCAGAAGACGTAATTTTATATTATTTTTTTATATTATTATTTTTATTTATTTATACTTAATTAAAATAAATACGTAATTTTATATTATTTTTATTTATTTATATATAAAGCATAAAGGAAAATACAACATTACAAATAGAAAAGAATACCAACAAAAAAATGGAAACATCGAATTAAAAAATTATAAATTTTACAAACAATTATAAAGATTACAAAAAATATATACCATCCCTCTCAGGGTGCAACATATATTTCAAGGACATATTCATATGTCCTACCCGTTCCCGATATTGTTTATGTTTGACTTATTTATAGGTCCTGCTCAGTTAACAGGTTAAGACCCTGGAAATGGGGGGATTTAGAAGCCCACTTGACCCTCTCAAACCACGAGGCCCCTGCTGAGCTGGGGCCACACACACACTCAGCCCCACTATGGGATTTTCGTTTTTAGATGGAAAGCTGTTAAAACAGCTGTCTCCAAGAACCGATTCGCATCCTTGAGCCTAGAGCCTGAACCAACAGCCTTTTCCCCTTTCACTCCAGTATCTCCCTCCTTACCCAGCAGCAGAGTAAGTAAGTGCTTCCCACTTCAGATACAAAGGCCGAGCAGAGGATCACACCTGCTGAGGAGCTGGCCCAGCTCGGCTACTGGTTAGGAACAGCCAGGCTTCCTCCCAAAAAGCAGAGCAGCATTTGCTAATTATCCTCAGAACAAGGTAAATGAGCAGAATTCGTGTCGCCTGTGCGGATGACCGAGAACAGCTGCCATGTATTGTTCCACACGGTCTCCATGGCTGCGTGGGCCGTGCAAAGAGCAAGTTCATACGTGAACTGTAACAAACACAAAGGCAGCTCCGCTGGTAAACATTTTTTCCCCCCACTGATAGAATCAGAAAGTTAGTCACGGATATAAATGTGCCCTGATGTGCTGAATGGAAACTAGCCTCTGTCCTATTTTGGGAATAAACAACTTTAAAGCATATTTCTGTACGCCTTTTGTTAATTAAATAATACTTTGACAAAAAATGGAAAAGCCAAGGAATATACATCTTCAGAAATTAAGGACTCTTATTTAGCAAGGTCCCTGTAATCCACAGAGCAGGGGGTAGTGGTGGTAGTGGGGGGAACCAGTCCCAAGCCACCCAAGATGAAGTGAATTAGTACTGTTAAGAGAAAAATAGAAAAGACCCACCTGAATTGATTTTAAAATCAATTCAGATTCCTCAGTAGCTCATGCCAGGTGGCCTCCGACAGGGTCCCCCTCACCTGAATTGATTTTAAAATTCAGATCCATGATTATAAAATTCCTTTACATTGATTTGATAAAGATCCTAAATCACATAATTGGTTTTAATACTGTGGCCAGTTAAGGAGGACAGATGGTGTGTGAAGCACAAAGCAAGGGACAGAGAGGCCCCTGGACCATAATCGGAGCGATCTGCACACCCCTCCTCCCTGCAGCCTCTCCATGGTCCCACAGGTGAACAGTGCACTCTGAAGCAGCTGTCATAAGTCAGGGTGGGAACTGACTTATGACAGCTGCTTCAGAGTGCATTTCCAGGAAAGCGAGGTGGAGGGGTGAGGGGTAGGAAGGGTGGGAAGTTGGGGGGAGTCGACTTAGGAAAAGGGTGGGTGGAAGTCAAAGGCCAGGGCATGGTAGAAACAGGAGAGAGACAACTGAGTTATGCAACTTAAGAATGGAACAGTTTTTGGCTTCTAGTCAAGATGAAGGTGTAGGTAAATGAGGTACGAGAATCTTCCCATAACCAGATAAAAAATACAACAAATATTCAGAACACTCATCATTCAGAACCACCTGAAATCTGGCTGAATTAGAAGTCCTACAACTAGGGAATTAAAGAAGTCATCACATCGAGCCTGGTAGGAAAGGTGGAGGTGCTGAGTGGGCTGGTCCCACACCCATGTGTGGCCTACTTTAATCTGAGGGCTGTGGAGGTACCCTCCCCTGAGTAGTGAGGGGTCCCAGCCCCACACCAGACCCCTCATCCCAGGCTTCCAATTCTGGGAAGAGATATCTTCATAAATTCAGGCTGTAAAAACCAGCAGGGATGTGGCTGAGTGACACCTCTTAAAGGGCCTGCAAAGCGACTCACTTGACTCACTTCCTCTGAGCTCCAGTGCTGGGGCAGCAGCTTGAAAGGAAACAGGGACATATGGGGAGGAACTGAATTGTCTGACATCAGGGTAAGAGCTGGGGGGCAGCTTTCTCCACCCAGAAGTGCTGGCAGAGGTCACTGTTCCTATGCCGAGACCTCCCCCATCACAGAGCTGACTGGCAGATGCCATATCTGAGTCTCCATCAATCTGGTTTACACTGTTCTCGCCTCCCCCAAACCCTCCCACCCCCCGCCCCAGGTGATTCCCTGAGAGCCTGCCCCACCCAATTTGTGGACTCATCCAAGCCCCTTCCAGTGGCTTTTCCATACATGTTTCAGAGTTTCATAAAATCTCTCAAGCAGCTGCTAGCCTCAGTACACTCTGTACCTAGTCAAGTGACCCCAGAGCCAGCACTAGCAGCAGCCAGCCTTGGTTCACAGCTTGGCCTCTCTTGGGCACATCCAAGCTCAATACATGTAGCAGCCATCTGCAGATCCCTCAGTAGCTCATGCCAGGTGGCCACCGACAGGGTACAGGCAGGGTACATCTCGGG